AGGGACCCATCCCCCACCAATCAATCAATCAATCAATCAAATAAGACAAAAAAAATCAATGTGTTTTGAGTCGGGTAAGGTCTTTGATTTTTTAAAAAATAATTCGAATGCTCAAAAAATAAAATAAAAAATATGGGGATGTAGAGCGCAAAAAAATCTACACCCTTGTATTTTTTTACTTTTATTTAGGTCCTTGTTTTGCCAGCGAAAAACAATTTCGCGGGTCGCGTTGTTCCGCGTTGTAACGCGGGTAAATGCGGCGTTAGATCGGGGTTGCAATGACCGTTGGTCCATTCAACGGGAAACCCCCATTGAATCCCTTTTCGGACACATAGAGCTTAACCTTTTCACGAGGTTGATCTTTTCTATTGAGAATGACCTCATTTTCCTATACCTGTCCAAATGATTCTCGTTTTCAATTTCCTCTGTCTCCTTTTGTCTGAGTTGCCTTGAGCTTAACAAAAAATAGAACAAATAAAATCTACTCGTGGTGGACATTTTCTGTCTCTATGAAGCATCCGGGGCATGACCTCGTTGCTTGAGGAACTGACCTTTTATCGACCCAGAGTGGACCGTTTTACGGGGATTTATCCTTCTGATTCGGTAGAGACGGTCTGGCTTCTTAGATCCGAACTTTGTGTTCTGGCAAGCAGGAGTACCCCAGACCACTTCTAGGAGGTGAGACATGCAACACTTCAAGTAATGCACCTGATGAAGAATCATAAACAAAGCAACTTGTCATCCAAGAATATTAAAAACGTATGGAAACGGGTTTGCGTGTCTAGTCTCAGGTTGAAAGTAGGGTCATCATAGAGGGTTTGTCTGTCCAATCTTAGGAATGAATGATTTTGGAAGCGCGTCTCATCAAGTCAAAAAAGAGGAAGACCGGCTACCTTGTCGACTGCATCAAGGTTATTGTCGGAGTCAACTCCCTGTTGGCACCTCAATAGGACGTTGATCGAATTTGACTCCTGATGCAACAAAAAAAATCCTACAGTAAATAAAAGTTAAAAAAAAAATAATAAAAAAAAATCCTCCATATTTAAAAATTATGTTTAATTATCATTCCAATGTTTGTCCAATTCTAAAATTTTCGTTTTTATTTTATTAGTTTCCTTCTTAAACCACCAGTACCTCTGCTCGTGTTGTGAAATTACATGTACTGGTCTGTCCTTGAAGAAATTGGTGGTGGGACCTAAGGTCGGCGAGTCCAATAAATCCTAGTTTTTATTTGCCGTTGCGTGAAAGAAAAATGGAAAAAAGAAGTTTGTGTACTGCAATGATGTTGGGCAGGGTAGTCTATGTGGCCATACTTACAGTCTTCCTCTACAAGATGCATCCTACAACAAAGAGAGTCACATTCTGAAACTTGTTTTTTTTTTTTTTTTTTCCTCGTTTGCTATTTATGAGTCTCTGGCAACAAGGCAGGGCGAAATCCGTGATCTGCGCTGACTGTGTTTTCTCAGAGGATTGTAACCCAGGTGTATCTAGTCATTTTCACTATCGAATCCGTGTTTCCTTTTTTTTTTTTTTTTTTTTTTTTTTGGGAATTTGATAATTTTTTTCCGTGATCTTGTCGAGTTGTGTTCTCTCAGAGGATTGTAACCCTCATCACACTGACAATTACAGGAATGTATCCATCTATTTTCATGGCCGAATACGTATTTCTGTGTTTTTTATTTTGCGTGTTTTTAAAATCAATCAACCTGGCCACGGGTCTGAGATGCCTTCAAGGAGGGCGCACTCACACTACCACTTCCAATAATGTATACAACTGCAATCACGACGGGAGTATTGTTTCCTTTTATTTTTTTGTTAGTTTCACAACCGCGACTTTTTTTTTTTCCCCTCCTCGTGAGAGTACCATAAAGAAATGGAGTGGAACCCTGACTCGGCAAACTCGGAGCGCGGTGAAATTCAAGATCGACAAAAACAGGCTCGGAGGTACTGGTGGTTTAAAATGAGCATTCCCTTCCAACTACATCTATTTGGTGAAGACGGAATGACAGTCTAGACGAGTTTATGGAATGCCTTAATTGAACTTTTATTCTACAACAACAAAAATCTTCTAATTGAGATTGGATTAACTCATTAATGACTAAAAATCCTTGTATAGAATCACATTTCAATAAAAATATTTCATGAACTCATCCACACTTTCATTCCATCTTTAGCCTGCAGTTCAAATAAGAAGGGATATCCCATTCTTGGAAGGAAAGTTTTCAAGTAAGACGGAAATTTGTAAAAGTGGAATGACATTTTTAAAGATGGATTGTAAATTTAATATAGAATGATTATTTAATTGTGGAAATTTTTAATGTTGCGGTGAGGTTTTATTATGATCTTGTGTTATTGGGTGTACTGTATGATGATTTTTTTCTCTCAGTTATCATTTCAGATTGGTAATACATTCTTATCGACTATGGACGATTCCTCTTAATGAAATTTATTGTGATTATTATCGCATTCTTTTAACTAGTGTCTAAGGGACTACGATTGAGTTACGGGTTTCGCGCTTGAATGAGATTATTCAGGTCAACCGGCGTCCGTTTCGTACTTAGGAGATCAGCACCTTAGGGAACGGACTACGTCATGTCCAATTGGCGTTTCAATTACGCGTACTTATACTGCAATGAAGCGAAAAAACACCCTTGAATGATCTACCTCTGCGACTGCATGTAAAAACTTTCGCACATAGGTCAGTAGCTCGGTAGGGATACACCCCTAAGGGTGGTGACAACTCTTAGGGAAGGTAAGTTGTGCCCTATGGGAATCTATCATATAGGGGACAGTGGGAAGTACGGCTCACGCACCCGGCTAGAACGGTGAAGGAATGATGCAACCACGTCTATCTTGGAGGTTCATGAGATTACTTACGCTTCGTTTCTAAGTTGTCTTAGTTGTGTTTTGTTTTACTCCTGCGTGACATGGCCGGGAGGGCTTTCACCTTTTGAGAAAAAGGCGAGAGCCGATGCGCTGAACAGGTGGCGCCGGCTATCGTCTTTTTCTCAAAAAACGAAAGCCCTTCCGGCCATGTCACGCACGAGTAAAACGAAACATAACAGATGACAAAGTCGCACACCCGCCTTAGAGGGGCACAGCATAAAGATTTCGGCCCAAAACGACATTCCGCTCTACCCACATCTTTCAAAGGCATTTTGGCATATATCTCAACCTATGAGGGTATTTTGCAAATTATCCGCTCTTATTATTTTTCTGTTTGGCTAGTTCTATTCAATTACCTGTTGAATCTGGGCAGGATGGTCTTTCAGGCCTTGTTTTTCGTCATTATAGTATTACGGAACACCCCCCGTAGTTTGTGTTGTGCCCCTGTCCGGCGGGTGTGTGACTTTCCAATCTGTTGTGTTTTGTTTTACTCTAGTGTGACATGTTCTGGAACGTTGTAGCAGCCACATCCATGCTCAACCCTTCAAGGAACATGTGGGAGCTGCACCCACCATCAGGTGCGATACCTTCTACAGAAGGTGGGGGATACCGGCCCGGGGTCAGCAGGTAGCGTCAAGACCGGCCTTCTTCTATAGCCCAGTCACTGTGCCTCCCCCCCTAGGAACATCAGCAGTCTCTAGGTGGAGGGGGCCAAGCTTGCCCAGGAAGGTAATGAGGCCAATGGGGATTGAACCCAAGACCTCCTGAATGCCACTTGCACGCCTTACACACTACTGAAGATTTTTTTCATTCGTTTTGACTGGATTTTATAAATGAATAGATAAAAAAAAATGAGAAAACATAGTGGTAGTGCACTGTACGGAAGCAGACAAGAATCTCGCTTTCCTTTTTTTTCTTTTTTTTTTAATAACAAAAGGTAGTTTCATTCCATAAGAGAGACAGGGGCCCGCTAACACACCCTGACAATGCAACCCTACAAAACATGCTCGGGCCTTTACCCATGCTCTCGCTTTTCTTTTCGTTGCACGATGCAGTTTACAACAATGGTAATTGCAATTCAATTAACACATTATCATGGCAAGATCCTTCAGACGATTAGAACAACCTTAGGCAGCAGCGAGTGACACAAAGCATAATTCTCCCGAACGCGACCCTGGATGGGTCGAAAAGATATTACGTTGTAAACCCATCCACCACCAGCAACATGCAAAAATGACAGTTCGCTGACTATCGTCAGTTCCCTGTCTCAGTTCAGACAGCTAGTGGAGCGCG